GTTGCAAGATGTTGTTCTGATAAGGATGCAGATTCTCAGTGCCTTTTGACCTTAAATGCATGCACTTATAAGAGAGAAACCAAGAGTTGAAACAGAGTTAGTAACCAAGTTCAAAAGTAAAACTTGATCTTAAAGACTCTACAAACTTTAATGATTCAAACAGAAAACCCCAATGGCAACCGCGCCAAATTGATAGAGAGGTTTTGATCTCTTTCTCAATCACCCCTGTATTTAAATCAGTTGTAGTATAGGGGTTTTATGTCAATCCATGGGGAGTTGTTGAAAATCAAAAGAGTTGCAAGCAGAAGTCCTTAAGTCAAGCAAGCAAAGAGAGTTTTTGTTGCCTAAGAAACTGAAATAGCAACCTAAAGTGATCAATAACTAAAGAGAACTCAAAAAGAGACAGTTTAGCAATGATCAAAGAAGCAAAACAGAGTAAATAAACAGAGCACTTAGCAAATTCGAAATTTAATAAAGAGAAAGCAAGTTCCTAGATGTGGTTATTGATTTTGTGGAATTCAAAGACTACATAAGGTTGTTTCAAACAGCATTGATCAAGCAAACAAGCTAGCAATGGTGGTTCCTAGACATAGAGTTCACAAACAAGCAAGCTAAGTCCAATCTCTTGATAAATAGCCCTTTACTAAATACCTTAACAAGAACTAACTCTCATTAGTGCTAAAACATTCAACAAGCATTAATAATCAACTCTATTCATGTCAAAATGCTTCTCAAACAGTCAATCTCTTGAGCCAAGGCCAGCAAATCCTCTATCAAACAAGATCATCATTTCATCAAACACTTGGTGGGCATAAGAGAAAGCTCAAATCCTAGATAAGTGTGATCAAGACAAATCTTGCTTAAAAACAGATTAAAAGAGAGAAACCCATGTTATAAAGTACTAAACAAACCTTAATCAATCCCTAAATCCCATTAATCTACCACATCTAAGAACCCTAAGCAAACTACTCACTAATACTCATGTTTAACACCAATTCACAAGAGGAAAAGATGCTAATCATGGTTAAAAGAGAGATTAAGGAAAGATTAATGGCAAATACAAACTTATATTAAATAAAGCAAGAAATTTGTCTTACAAACTCAGAAAAATAACTCAAAAACAGTGATATCACATGACTGCTCGAAAATCTCCAGAAAATAGTATTTATACATAAAGGAAAGATGCCCTAAAGTAATGGCAAAAGTGTAATAAAAACAGCTCCGGACTAGGTTCCTATCGGTCAGTTGTGATCGATAGGGTGATCGATAGGAATCCTATCGGTCTAGAAGGTGACCGATAGGGTGACCGAAATCCATACGGTACACTTCTATCGGTCACTTCTTTGACTGATAGGTTTGGTCGATAGTCCTTCTATCGGTCTCTTCTTGACCGACATGCCTTGTGTCTTGACCGATAGGCTCCACAGAGATCGTCTGCCTTGGTTCCTTTTGCTCCTCTTGGCTCAGCTAGCTTCCTAGATCATCTCCAAAGCTCCTCCATGCTCCTCCCAGCTCCATAAGTACCTAAAAACATCCATGATGCAAAGAAAAATGCAAACTACATCCTAAATGCAACCTAAATCTAAAAGGAGAAGAAAATGGGACAAAAGGTAAGGAAAACATGCAAAAGAGAACCAAAACATGCACTAAATGCAGGCCTAAATGGTGTAAATACAAGAGATATCAGAGTGGCACACATTTTATTTCCATCAGCAAACCCAACAGGACACGGGGAATACTTGATGTATTATGTAGCAACGAGAGATCTCCTGTCATGTGATGAGATGCTCCCGTATCTAATATAAGCTCACCATGTATACGCTTACCAATAAATTTCTCAGATGGTACAGCAGTTTTCTGTGCAATCATCTGAGAGAGAGCTCTCCACTTCTCTTGAGTAAACTCTAGAAACGAAGACGAGTTGGAGGTTGTGGCGTGAGCATTGGTGACGTGATCTCCTGAGTTTCTGTTTCCACGGCCTCTACCACCTTTGTTTCCACCTCTTCCTCCTCTGTTTTGTGAGCGTTCTTCAAACCAATCAGGGAACCTAATGAGCTGCCAGCAATTCACCTTATCATGTCCACTACGTCCACAATGAGCACACTGAACTCCTTGATCACGACCTCTGGAACCACCAATAGACAGTGAACATTGTTGATCGAACGAGGGATCTCTCTTAGCAAAAAACCCCATGGCACTTTGTTGAGATTCCCTCTCTGCAGTTCTGTTGAGAAGCTGCTCTTCACAGGTCACATTCACGTAGATCTCACCAATATCGAGAGGAGCATCAGACGAGATGATTGATTGACACATGCCACCAAACTGAGATTCATCTAAACCCATTACAAACTTATGCATCTTCCCTGCATCACGATCTTTTTCATATTCAGCAGTAGTAGAGCATGTACAAACTTGTATGGGTTTGTATTCCTCCCACATTTTTGACAAATGTAATCCATTAAGGCTTGACTATCTTGTCGACATGCAGCTAACTGTTATTTGATATGATGTATAGGTACTTTGTTTTCTACAGAGAAACGTTTACAGAGATTTTCTCACAACTTGTAGGAATCTCGGATGAACGTAACAGTAGATCGGACCCATGGTTCAATAGAAGTTCGGATCCAACCGACGATCATGGAGTTCACGGACAGCCAAAGCTCTAGGTCCGGATCATTAGCGAGTGGCTTCAGAATTGTCCCGTCGATGAAACCTAGCTTTCGTTTGGCACGAAGTGCATTAGTCATCTTTGAAGCCCACTCATTATAATTTTCACCAGAGAACATGACAGCCGTGACTATAAAACCAAGATTATCCGAAGCATAGAGAGAATACAATATAACTGTCATATTCTTTTCTTCCGAGGTTTTATACATAGAGGAGATCTCACCTTCGACCATAGTTGCTAGATCTTACATGAAAAACAACAATACACACTAAGGAGATTCAAACTTCGAAAGAACCTTAGAAAACAAGCAAAAAAAAACAAAAAAAGAATTTAGGTCACAGAAAATTATGCTTTGATACCATGTAAACTAAGAACAATGGTATTCTGTGTGTATTGTTGATCAACTAATAGCTTAATATATAGATGATATATTTAACATAACCCTCAAAGTTTATATAAAGAAAAAGAAAATATGCCTACATAATGGATTTAGAGAATAAACGATATGATATTGACATTCTCGTAATAATGATTTTATAGCATAGACCGTATGTGTTTTAACAATTCCACAAATATGATTTCATATTTTATGAACCAATCAAACATACAATATTAGTTCGGGTTCTTTATGACATTTACGACACTTTGTAAGTGTGTCTTCGTATCTTACAATGCATTCACTCAATTAAGTAGATCTGGTGGATAAATTCAACACGTTAGCAGTTTTAAACAATTGTGATATCAGTTTCTATATTATGATGATACAAGCAATAAGAACAAACTTAAAATGAAAGAAAACCCCAAAATATAGCTAAGCTTATAATCGGCCATTTGCTTAGAAACAGTTAATGAAATTTTCCAAAAACCCCTATCAAAGAAATCTGTCAGAAAATTAACTACTTAGACATGATTAAAAGCAACAGAAACGAAAAGGATAAATGCGTGATATAGATTGACCGATAAAAATAAAGAGAGATTAAGAGATGAATTTATCTTTGTCGAAAATAAAAAAGAAAACAATATGCTTTTGACGGCTGTGAACAATAATAATAGCATGAAACCAAAGTCATAAAACTAAGTAATTATAAGTTTTCAATTCTAAACTGTTGTTACTTAGAGCATCTGTATTGATGAGAGTAAGTCTCTCATATAATATAATTCTATTATGGTAAGTGAAATTTAATTTAATAATTAAATTTTAATTTATTAAAAAAAATCAATTGTAAAGAAATACATGGTTTGAGAGTCTCTCACGAGTCTCTCATAATTTCTCAAATGAGAGACTCATCTCATTCTCTCTCTTCTCTTTTTAATATTTTAATTCATTTTAGTAGTGAGAGATTCACTAAGAGATTCCTCACTGAGAGATGGTCGTAGGATTTAACTTTGAGAATACAGCAAACAGGCTCGAATGAGCTTATAAATGGGCTGGGAGGCGATATTTGTGCTCGCAGGCAGGTGAAGTTCTGGGCAACTGGTGAGTGGTCTTGGAGGACCGGCCAATGGCCTTTGAGCCGCCGACAGGTTTGCTCTGCACTGGTTGGACGGAACTTCCTACACTTCGTGTAACTAGTAACTTGAAGTACATATATCTGATTGACCTCAAACAATTTCGACGTAGATCAGCCTATTTTTATCTTAAAAAAAAAATAGCTTGTTTTGGAATTTGTAAGGCTTTCCTTCGATGTTGAACTTCTTGCATGTTGCACATATCCGGAAAACAATATCTTGCAATCATCATAAATAAACTAGGGCATATAGAAAACATATCATGCAACCACAAGATCATTAGAACGCAACGAAACTAACCAGTAACAAATCAAAATGTAGACATAGAAAAGAATGATGCTTAACCATTTTCGAATAAGAGCAATTAACGACTAACATTTTCGATTTCATACTAATCCGAACCGACGGAACATATCAGTTTGGGATTAACTTTAAGCACATGACAAAATATAAAAATATCTTTCTTTGGCTCGAAAGTCAAGTCTCGAAACACTTAATGCATTGTAATTGTCTACGTTTTCCAGATCTGAACGAAAACTAATAACGTAAGTTGTAAAAACATGTTCGCTTGGTGAATAAAAAAGACATTATTCATTAGATTAACAGTTATATGGCCTGCCGCATTAACCCCGAGGGTATAAAAAATTGGTAAGTTGAGATAAATAAATCTTAAATGATAGCCTCGCCAACCACGATTTACATATTATAGTATTTCATTTGTTTTTATACGTAAAGAAAATCATTTTGGTTAAAAAATAAATTATTTGTAAAAGAGATAAAATTGTGTATAAATTGAAGCTTGATCCCCTGCTAAAGTATCATCAACGACACATTGTTCATCATTATCATCTCTATCCTTCCAATCAGAGGTCAGCTCTCTCTCTCTCTCTCTCTCTCTCTCTCTCTCTCTCTCTCTCTCCTTGCTTTGCTAATTACATCGATTAATAATTACGACAGCATAAGGTAATGATACAAATGAAAAACTTGGAAACAAACGTTACCTAAGCTCTTTCTCTATGCATGCAGATATAAATCGGTTCGTGATGGCCCAAAATGTTGAAGCAAAAGGTGGGAAGGGAGGCAATGTGTGGGATGATGGAGCTGACCATGACAATGTAACAAAGATTAATGTAAGAGGTGGTCCTGAAGGCATTCAATATGTCCAGTTTGATTATGTCAAGAGTGGTCAATTCAAAACTGGATCAGTTCATGGTCTCTCGGGTAGAGGATTTACGCAAACGGTATGAATGAAACTATCATTTATTATAAATATACTAGTCCATATATAACATATTAAGCTTTGTTTCGAGATTTGTATCGTTAAAATTTTGATATGATTCTTGTCAAAATTACACTTGCTATAAAAGAAATGAGAAAATTATTATTGACCTCAACTAATCATTTGTTATCACCGTTTGATTGTAGTTTGAGATCATTTCAAACAATGAATATTTGGTATCGGTAGAGGGTTATTATGATGACAGTACAGGTGTGATTCAAGCACTTAAATTCATAACCAACATGAAGACCTCTGAGATGATGGGATATGATGACAAGGGTATTAAGTTTTCACTTGAAGTAAAAGGAAAAAAAATAATTGGGTTTCATGGATCGGCTGAGACTAATCTAAACTCTCTTGGAGCTTATTTCACAAAGGCTCCTCCAACTAAATTAGACTACCAAGGTGGTTCTGGAGGTAGCCTTTGGGATGACGGTCCTAATTACAACGGCGTGAAAAAGGTTTCCTTCACATTAGGTAATGGTGAGATCAGGCAAATCAAGCTCGATTATGACAATGGTGGCTTAGTGGAAACACGGGAGCACGGAGAGAACCAAGGACAACAAGTGGAGGTACGAGTCGTGACTAACCTAATATTCTCTATCTCTCTCTCGCTATGTATATATGTTTTTTTTTTTTTTTGGACAAACGTTATTATATGTTTATTCTTGATTTCTTCTTCCTTTTTTTCTTTATTCTTGATATCGCTTATATGAATTCTTTTTTACTTCAGTTTGTTGTTGACTATCCAACTGAATACATCATAGCTTTGGAGGGTACCTGCGACATTGTAAGTAATCCTACTCAAAACCGTGTTAGATCGCTGACTATCAAGACATCAAAAGGGAGAACCTCTCCGATCTTTGGAAAAGTTGCTGCTCACGAATTCGTTCTTGAAAGTAACAGTAACGCTCTTATCGGGTTCCATGGACGAGCTGCTGGTGCTTTAGATGCCATTGGAGCATATTTCTCTATTCCTTCTCCTCCTCCTGCCAAATTGGACTACCAAGGCGGTTCTGGAGGTACCTTCTGGGATGACGGTTATAATCACGATGGTGTGAGAAAGGTAGCATTTACATTAGGTAATGGTGAAATAAGGCAAATCAGGATCGATTATCACAAAAACGGTTCAGTGGAAAGGCGGGAGCACGGGGAGAACCAAGGACGACAAGAAGAGGTCTGAGTTCCAACACAGATAGATGTTATTTCTGTCTCTGTCGCTCTCTCTTTTTTTATATATATATATATATATATATATAAAATATACAAACAGCTTTATATTCTTGTTTTGCTTATACGAAAATTTTGTTTTCTTTAGTTTGTGGTCGACTATCCAACTGAATACATTATAGCTGTGGAGGGTACTTGCGATATTGTAAGCAATCCTACTCAAAACCGTGTTAGGTCGTTGACTATCAAAACATCGAATGGGAGAACCTCTCCAATCTTTGGGAACGTTGCTGCTAGTAAGTTTGTGCTGCAGAGCAATGGAAGTCCTCTAATCGGGTTCCATGGACGGGCTGCTGGTGCTTTAGATGCCATCGGAGCATACTTCTCTGGACTGACTCCTCCTCCTCCTGCCGAAAAACTACAAGCAAAAGGTGGAGAAGGAGGAGATCCATGGAACGATGGTGTTTTTGATGCTGTGAGGAAGATATATGTAGGGCAGGGTGAAAATGGTATCACAGCCGTCAAGTTTGTATACGACAAGGACTCTCAGGTGGTTGAGGGGGATGATCATGGGAAGACAACACTTCTTGGCTATGAAGAGGTGATTATTTAGTACATCACTTATTTCGTTCATTTTCCAGTTATTAAAGGTTAATCTCCGTCATAGGGAAACTATCGACAAAGGTCACAACTTTTTAATTATCCTAAACAAAAGTTTTATGGTTCTTGATGATCAACTTCTTTAATAATTCTCCATTCTATATTTTTTGTAGTTCAATCTAGAATATCCAAGTGAATACATCACCGCCGTAGAAGGTTGTTATGACAAAGTATATGGAAGTGAAGGTGGAGCTATAACCATGCTTAAGTTCAAGACCAACCAACGAACCTCTCCATCCTTCGGAATCGAATCGGCATCAAGCTTCATCATCGAAAAGAAAGGTTACAAGATCGTTGGTTTCCATGGAAACACTAGTCACGAGCTTCACCAGCTTGGTGTCTACGTCCTGCCCATCACCCAGTGATCTTTGCTTGCTCTTATATGAGTTACGTTGACCAAGTTCAAGTGTTCCCTGACCAAGTTTGATAACGTGGTTGCTTTAATTATCTCGTATGTTTTTTTTTGCTTGGTTTGTTTAAATGTTTTCATGTTGCTTTTTTTAATGCGTACTGTCTCCTGTGTCGTTTGGCATGTCTTCAGATTTCAACTTTTCATTTAGAAAAAAGGTTTGGATAATTTTCTATCATCATTTAGAGCGTATTTGTTCAATACTCACCTCCACCGGGTTTCGTATAGATGCCGAAAATATTAGCCTAGATGTTTATGCATATTTATAACAAGACCAAAATTAAACACTGCTTATAAGCAAAATTATATAATTTAATATAAATAAGAAAAAAAAAGAAATGAAAACAAAATATGATTGAAAATGCAAACGCAAAAACCATTAACAAAGAAACCTAATAATTATATTAATTATATATTTATTTTGATAATTCAGTTTGTTTGTTATTTGATTCCAAATACATTTTTCATGTTTTTTTAAGTGTATCTAATTTTTCTTATTTCAAGCTGAATTACACTTATCATTTTATTATTTAATTAATTATATTTTTTTATAATCTAAATTGATTTGATGAATTGCTCATATATTCTTACTCGAGCTACAATTTTTTTTTACATTTTAGATATTCACACAATTATTGTGTATGGTTTAATACGAAGGGTAGGATCACGCACAACCATTTCTCATATCCATCATGGTTTTGAGCATGTGCGCGTTGTGCAAATCTAAAGTCTAATTTTGTTTGTTAACACATTTGCTTCAGTTTAAGGGCACAACTAAAATAGAATATAAACCCTTTTATATATATATAAAAAAACTAAAATAGAATATAAACACTTTTTCTATAAACTGGGAAAATGCATCGAATTTTATATTATCTATTTTGATATTCTCAAACGGTCGCATTAAAATTTTGCGCTGGACATGTTTATGCACCATCATTTCCTTACAATGTGACTATTGGAGGCCAAATTCACATATTTCCTAAAAAAATCGTATTGAAAACTTGAATTATTAGTGATAATCAACTTCTTTCAATATTCTTCACCCGTTAAAACTTAAATTTTGACAATTGTTGATTCTTTAAAACCTTACTAATAGACAATGTAATTACTTGTTTAAATTAAAATTAATTTGAATAAAAAAATTAATGGTTAAAATGAATATATAATCAAAACTAAAAGTCAAAATGTGCATTTGTCACATTAAAAATATAAGACTATTATACAAAAGCATAAAAGAAGTTCTTTAATTGAAATAAATCTTTATAGACTTATTTAATAATAAAAGAGAAAATGCTCCAAAATGATAAAATAATGTTAAATGGGTATCCTATTGAAGGAAAATTGTGAAAATGACTATTTTTATGATTTTTTAAATACCAGCGCTATCCTTCTAACTACTGTTATTTATAGACTAATGACAGACTAACGACAGACTGAATGCAGACTATTGACAGACTGTTTGGTCAAATAATTGAATGTAGACTATTCGTAGACTAATGCTGGCCTAGTTGCAAATTACTGGCAGACAATAGCAGATTGAAAGCAAACTAATGATTCTTTCTTGTGGGTCATTTTAAGAAGGATCAAGTTTCATAATAAAACTGTCAAGTAGGTTATTTCAATAATTATCTCTTAATTAAATCTTCAATATTCCATTTATAATTTTACATAATATTAATAAATCTTTATTGATTAAGTCGAATATTTTATGGTATATTTTCATTTATCTTATCCTTGTCAAATAAAAAATAAAGATTTTTGAAATATTTCAGTTTTCTCTGTCAAACAAAGAATAAAAGTTTTCGGAATATTTCTGTTTTGCCTCAATCGAATAAAAATATTCGGAATATTTTCGTTTATCTTTTGTGAGTAATAAGCCTAGTGCTTTGTACCACAAGCCTCTCTTTTACTATAAATAAGGATCTCTCTCATTTATTATTTATCATGCAGAAAAGCAATAAGCTTTCAAACAAAATTTTCAGCAAATCCCTCTCATCTCTACAGTCTTAAGATAAGTCTCTAGAGTACAACATAGATCTTCCTTTTGCAGATTCTATAGTCGAGTGCTGTGACTTTAGTCTCAAACACGGTTGTATCAAGGGATTCTGAATCTCTTCAAACTGCCATATGCAGGAGATTTAAAGAATTAAGGAAATAGATCAAATCTTGACTATGTGTATTCGTCTCTTTTCTTAATCTTTTTTATTCAATCGTTTTATACAATATTATAATTTCTAATAGAGATTTCAATCGATTTATATTCATAGTTTTCATTCTGGATTTTTGTGGTCCTACATTCTTAATTCTTTGAATCCGTTTTCTGCTAATCGCTTGAATCAGATTAAATATTGCGAACAATACTTCAAAAACAATTTCATAAAAAAATTTAAAAACATTTTCTGATCGATCTACAATGTTTCTACCACTGCTTTATAGCTTACCGTAGAACGTTTGATCTCATAAAACAGACGATTATCAAAATGACAGAAAATGATTTCTGCATCAGCCCTAGGCAGGATCGCGAAACGTTTGTCTTAAAAACGATCTTCACGATCAAACAAAAAGTGTTTAAGAACACTTATAGGTGATTTGTGGGAACGACTATTAGCGTTTGAGAATGCCTTAAGGCGATTTTTTTAATGTGTATTAGTGAATTAAATGTTTTAATCGGTAATTCGAATTGAGTTCTCAAAAACTGACTTGATTTGTCTTTGTGAACAGATTCAGAATGTCTACTGACGATGGTTCCAGTGGAGCTGCAAAGAATTTGACCAATAACACAAGTGAGCCGACAACCCTAACCGGAAATTTTTGACCACTAGGAGTTCAGTCAATTCCAACCGCAAGATTTCAACCCGAGAAGTTTGATGGAACCAAATTTAAGCAGTGGCAGAAAAGGATGCACTTCTTTCTGACCACACTGCAGATGGCAAAGTATCTCACTGAGATCAACCTTGTCATTGCTGCTGACAATACTGATCCACGTATGCTCACTATTGTCGATGCGTGGACTCATGGGGACTTTCTCTGCAAAGGGTGCATTCTCAATTACCTTGAGAACCAGCTGTACAACTTGTACAGTGAGAATTACAAAACCTCCAAAGATCTATGTGATGCTTTGAAAAAAATACAAGACCTACAACGTAGGATCTGGGAAATTTGCAACGGCAACTTCTCAGTTTCGTGGTGGTAGACTCGAGGTCCATCATGGATCAAGTGCACGAGCTACAAATGATACTTCAACAAATATCAGATGAAGGCATGAAGCTTTGCGAAACCTTCATAGTGAATTGCTTCATTGAGAAGCTTCCCCAAATTGGTCATACTTCAAGAGCTATCTATCATACACCGATGCCAACATAACTGAAGCAGATTTGTGTGCAGTAGTAACAAAAGCTGACATGGTTGAAGAAAACCTGAGAGCATCGTGGTACAATATGCATTGATAGAGACGTGTTCAGTACCTATCAAAAATGCAAAACTGCTGAAGATTTGTTGATGGGAAATGTGTCCCTCTCCAAGATTGAAGGTACCGGAAAGGTGGTGCTGAAGATGACATTAGGAATGGTGATCACGCTCTTAAACATGAAGCATGTTCGAGACATAAGGAAGAATTTGATCTCTGGCATGCTGCTGAACAAGCATGGATTCGCAATCAACTTTGAGTCTGACCAGCTGATTCTGAGAAAGAATGGTATTTTCATTGAAAAAAGATTTGTTAACGAAGGATTAGTCAAAATGTGTGTAATGACAATCCTCGAGAAAAACGATGTACCGGTTTTCAAAAATGAAATGATTAATAAACCAGTTGCTTATTTGGTTGAGTCTTTTAATAATTGGGATGAAAGATTAGGACATGTAAATTATAAGTCTGTTCAAAGACGGATGAATTTGAACCTAATTCTTAAATGCAAAATTAGCAAAGACAAATGTGAAGTTTCTGTTCAAGCCAAGCTCACAAAAACATCTTCACCTCACGTTGAACGAACAACCGAACCTCTTGTCTTAATCCACACTGATCTGTGCGATTTAAAATACATACAAACTAGAGGTGGTAAAAAGTAATTTGTGACTTTCATAGAAGATCGCACAAGATACTATTACGTCTACTTACTATGCAGTAAAGACAAAGTCTTGGATAAATTTAAAGAGTACAAACTCGAAGTTGAAAACCAACTGGTAAAAATCATTAAAATGGTTAAAGTGATAGATGAGGCGAGTATGATGGACCTTTCAATGCATCCTGTCAACAAAAAGGCATCATATATCAAACGATGCCTTTCAATGTTGCAAGAATTTGGATTATCCTAGAATCGATAGGGGGGAAGCGCAGCTCACCACGAACTATATCCTCAACGAAATTTCACACAAGATGGCAAAACGCCATATGAACTTTGGAAAGGTACAGTACCTTCGTACAAATACCTCAAAGTGTGGGGTTGCCTAGGAAAAGTCACAGTGCCACCTCCTAAGAAGTTAACAATTGGACCTAATACAGTAGATTGTATCTTCATTGGATATGCACACAACAGCAGTGCTTATCGATTATTGGTTGATAAGTCAGATTTACCGGATATCCATGTCAACAAGATAATGGAATCAAGGAACATATCTTTCTATGAAAACATCTTTCCGTGTAAAGATAAATAAAGAAAGAAACACACTCATGATGAAAGAGACGCTAGCATCTCTATAAATGAAGAAAGTACTTCTGGAATTTCAGTTGATGAAGCAAAAGATGAAGAGGATGATCCTAGAAGAAGCAAAAGAGCACGCAAGGATAAATCTTTTGGTGATGATTTTTTAATGGTAGTTCTCGCAGAGAATGAGCCAAGATCATTCACAGAAGCTATGTTACACCTGACACATCTTTATGGAAATAAGCACTCAATAGTGAAATTTACTATATAATGCAGAATCATACCTATGAGGTCATTGATTTACCTTAAGGTTTTAAGGCACTAGGGTGTAGATGGATCTTCAAAACCAATTTGAAAGCTGATGGTTCAATCAAGAAGTACAAGGCCAAACTTGTGTTTCAAGGATTCAGACAAAAAGAAAGTCTAGATTTCTTCAACACATATTCCCCAGTGACAAGAATAACTTCAATCAGAATACTGATCGAAATTGTAGTACTAAGAGGTCTCGTAATCCGCTAGATGGATGTAAAAACTGTCT